GACTCACTTCAGTTTCCTGCTGGGATCTGACCTGCTGCTTCACATCAGAGCTTCTTTTCTGGAGGAGACGGATCAGCTCAGTGAACATCTTCTCACTGTCCTCCACTGCTTTATCAGCAGAGCCATTGATGGCCTCCACCTCCTGTTGAAGCAGCTTCACATCTTTCTCTCGCTCCTGGATTCTCTGCTGGATGTTTAGTCGTCTCACCTCGAGCTCCTTCTGCTTCTCAGTCCTTTCTGCTGCAGCTGGGACTGTTTCATGGCCTTTATGTTCATCCATTGTGCAGAGATAACAGATACTCTGCTGATCAGTACGACAGAAAATCTTCATCACCTCATCATGACGAGAGCAGATGTTCTCCTGGAGCTTCTTGGAGGGGGCCACCAGCTTGTGTTTCTTTAATGAGCTGCATCATAGTGAGGTTGGAGGTGTTTCTCACAGTAAGAGGCTGGACAAGATAAACAGAACTTGATGGCTTTCAGCTTCCTCTCATTACTAAACCAGTGATCTGTAATGGAAAATTTCCATTTTTCTTGTTTACAGTGTTAAATACTTATGCAAATGAAACACTGAAACACTGTAATAGACTGTTCAGTGGAAGTTTCTAAAACTAGATGAACTTATTTAAGCCTCAGTAGTTGAAGAAAACAACTCCCTCTGCAGCTGCTGATAACGCCAAAGGCATGAAACAGCATACCCATTGTTCCATTAGGTTTCATAGCGAGCCGCGTGATATGTGTTATGGTCAGTTTATGACTTCCTTCCCTCTTCTTTGGAATGCATAAAGGAATGGAAGCTCCACTTCTGTTTTAGAGCTCTCCTGATTGTATAACTGTGATGTTTGATGTCTGTGTTTGCTCTCCTGCATGCAGTAATTTCAGTAGCTTGGCCACAGCTGATTGTGTTGCAGACTTTATTAACAGAAAATTCCACCACAGATGAAATTTTAGTTAATGCTTCAGAGCAGGGAGCAGAAAAACATCTACTATCACACAACATTGTGTTTAACTTAAACATGAAAACACAACAGTCTTAATTGTTTGAATACATTTCACTGAAAGCACAACTTATAAACACTGTTCTCACTGCTGTATTAAAAGATTCTCCTTATCTATAATGATCAGGTTTAATTAAATATGAATTAACGGAGCAAAAAAAATATTAAAATTATTACAAACTAGTCTGTGTATTCAAAGCAGTGGTAAGAAACCTTAAATCTGTGGTATGTGGATGCATTTCCCACACTCAGTGAAATGGCAACTCAGTTGCTTTATAATATTAGTATCTTAAAAATGTATACAGCACTTTATTCTATACACTTCAAGTATTAATTTGCCTCACATACACCTAACATGCATGTCTTTGGACTGATTAACATGGAAGAAACATCGTAACTCCACACAGAAAGGCCTCAGCCAGGATTTAAATCAGGAACTTTCCCACCACCCTATTACAAATCTCAGGTTTGTGCCAAAAACCATCTCTCAAGGTACGCTCTGGGCTCGGATCCTTATATGCACCATATATGACCCCTCCTATATATTTTTTTTCTATTACACTGTTTGCAGAATCCTGGGGCAAATTCCAACAACCAGCAGGTGGCTGTCTCTTATTTATATCTTTTTTTCTTTCTTTGTCCTGGTCTCTTAAAATCCCTGAATATTTTCTAGAAACAAACAAAAAAAAGACAAAAATGGCTGAAAGTAGTACAGATGAGTGCCACATGAGATCTATATCTGCAGGGGGAAAGGTGTCATCTTTTTTTATATATATAATAAGTTGTCAATCTGCTTTAAAAGCCTCAACTGAAGTATTACATTTATAAAGAAGATGTCACTGCCACCTGCTGGAGAGAAAGATATGGTGCATAAACATTTTTAAACAAACAAACATGCTTGCACAAGTCAAGATGAACCCCACAAACTGTATTCTGGTGTGAGCTGCACACCTGTCCCCTGTCTGCACACAGCAGTATTCACTGTGGAAGTCAGTCCACTTGGTAACACTGGGTAGGTCTTTTGAAACATTATCTGAACTAGCTTTCATTTGAGTCATTAGAGCTTAAAACCGCATGTTTATATAAACCTATCATGTCTATCGATACACCTGCTTTTCCAGATGAGCCACAATGCCGGCAGATTAACTCGTGTCACAGATTAACTGGTGACGGTCAAACAGATGTGTGGTAGACTTGCCTTTAAACTGACATCATGCAGTTCATCTTCTCATCCGCAGAGGGCCACAAATCACCATCAATGAAGAGTTCTAGGAGATTTAGTGTAGATGCTCCATGACTTAATAAGGCATTCTGTTTTAAGGGGTTAGAGAGAAAATAAAAGCAAAAACTACAAAATTAAAAGAAAGAGAAATCAAACATTTGGATTCTCTACTGGCTCTGCTATGATTTGGCAGTCAGCTAAACTCCTTCCTTACATTAAGACTCTGATGACACGATTCCATCTGTTCACAGGTTTAATGACACAGGGGAAGGTGAAACTGCACCATACAGTACAAGGCATAATCACTTTTACATATTCACCATGTACAGATAAAACGATGAAAATATATTAACTACTTTTTATTACAAGTCAGCATATCCTCCTAAAATATACTGAGAGTGGCGTGTAACTGAAAATATTGTCAACCCCAAACAACAGACTGAACATTGGTTTCACCCTGGAAACATCCTTTAAATGTAAACCCAACAATGTATACAGTGGTCCCTTTCTATAACGTGGTTCAACTTCTGCAGCCTTGCTGTTTTGTGGATTTTTTTGTGTGCAATTTTGAGCCCATTCTCACTCCTGAGGCGTAACATCCCGACGCATGTGTAGATTGACTCCAAACGGTTCTCATATGTCCTCAGTTTCCAATGTCATCATGTAGGAATGTGTTGGGTGCCCGAAAACATAATATGTTGACGATTTGTCACCTAGCGTAAAATGTTTGTTTGTTTTTTACAACGCATTGTGTTCTGTGTCCTGATCAGCTGTAGACCATTGTCAATCTCCTCCATGCCGTCTCTCCTGTACAGTACAGAATTGCTACATTGATAGCTTGCAGTGTATGTCTAAATTTCTGTACTTTTCTCCCCAACACGTTTTGCACCATCAAAGGCACCTGCGGTAGCACCCAAAAGCAGAGGAAGATAGCTATCGCACAAAATCTTGAACTTCTGATTCATTGATTTATTAATGATTAATTGATGTTGAATTCTCTCAGGTGCTCTATTCCCATGTTCTGGACCTGAAAATAGGGTTTGATCTTTTGGTTTTATTATAATACTGGACTTATTTTTCTACGAAGGTTTGAACTTTGAGAGTTTAAACAAGAGAGAAAAGTGTGAAAATGTTCATGCCTGTCTGAGAAAAGTGTATAAAGTGTGTAGTGAGGGGTTTTACAGCCTTAAAACATCTATAATAATTGTAAAAAATAAAGTTGGCTACTTTGCAGATTTCAACTATTGCGGGTTATTTTTAGAACATAACACCATAAACAAAGGACCACTGTACATTACAATCTGATTTATTAAAAACAAAGTATTCTTAATGTATTTATTATAACTTAAAACCATGAAATTACCTTAAAACTGCATAACCGCTGATGACGGCAGCCACAAAAGGCATAAGATGTAAGTGGATGTTGCTGGATTTAACTAGCTGAGCACAGCCCGTCTCCTCAAATTCACTGGCTAACATCCTGTTTGCTAATGACATCAGTTCCTATCACAGACTATAGTGATTTTAAGGTGGCTCACGTGAGTTACCATTTCATATTTAATATCTAAGAAATATAAAATAACATTCTACCTTAAACTGAATTCATTTTTGATATCACAGCAGATTATTTTTAATGAGTTCATATTTGTTGAAAATGCAGAGGAGCTGGTTGTGAACTGAGCTTCAGAGAAACACAACATACTGATATTCAGTGTGAAGCTTTGAGTGGAAAAAGAAAAACAACAGAAAAACATGCGGATCTGGGAATAATCAAAGCTTCCATCTTTATCCATGAATCTGAAAACGTGTTTCTGAGTGAAACAGACAGACATGTACAGACTATCTGTTCAACAGTCAAAGTGTTTCTCTAAAGAGGCACGAGTACACTCTTTAGATTATTCTCTGCAAACAAACACTGAGGAACCAGGAAACCACACTCTAAATCCAGGACAAAGAGGTTCTGTGAATGTGGTGTTGAAGGTATGGAGGTGGATCAGGGTGTCAGAGGAGACTCTGTAGAAGGACAGAGTGCCAGCAGGACAGTCCACATACACTGCTACTCTGTTAGAGACTGAGGAGGAGGAGAAGGAGGAGGATGATATGGATGTTTCTCTGTTATTGTGACAGACAGAGTAACCATCATCGGAGCAGCTGAGACTCCAGGATTGATCATTCCACCCAAATGAACAGTTATCACTGCCACTTTTCCTTCGGATTTTTCTATAAGTCACTGATATGTCAACATCTCCTTTCCACTCAACCTCCCAGTAACAGCGGCCAGTCAGACCATTTCTACACAGCAGCTGAGGATGAACATCAAATCTGTCTGGATGATCAGGATATGACTGAACCTCCTCCACATGTGTCACCTTCCTGTTGTTGTCAGACAGTTTGAGGTTTGTGTGTACTGTGTTTGTGTCGATTGTGAGTTGACAGGAATCTGATGGAGAGAACAAACACAATCCAGCTGCAGTTATTGATCCATCATCTGTTCATTGATTGACACTTTGATGATGACTCCTGACATCAGAAATGTGAATGAGTGATGTGACAGTTTGAAGATGGTTGAATGTTTTTAATGAATCACATTAAAAACACACTTACACTTCCTCAGACCTGGTGTCAACCATCGGACTCCAGCAGGCTCCACCCTGAAAGGAGGAGGGGGATCAGACCAGCACAGTCTCTTTCAGCATGCACACATGGACATTACATTGCTCTCATACACATACTGTTAGACACTGATAAAGGAACAGTCCAACATTTTCAGAAATATGTGGCTATCTGTGAACCAGTATCTTTCAAATGCCACTCCCCTCCCCCAAACAAAACAAAACAAAACAAAGAGAGTTGTTGATTCTCACCAAGCAGAAGGTCCATATACACAATCACCAGTGTTTCCAAGTCCCAAGCATAAGTATTAAGAAATTTAAAGAGAGCATACGGGGCATATTTAAAGAGAGCCTCCACCAGTGAGTGAATGAATAGTGGCATTGTAAAGCGCTTTGGGTGCCTTGAAAAGTGCTATATAAATCCAATCCATTATTATTATTATTATTATTATTATTACTGCTTATTATTATTATTATTATTATTATATGGAACAAGCCAGGCAGGGGAACAAAGTGAAAAATGTAAAGACTGTGGGAAGACATATAGTTATAGATATGTCCAAAGATCCCAAAACAACTGCAAAGACACTAGTGAATGACTTAACGTAGTCGTGAATTGTACAGGGTGGGCCATTTATATGGATACACCGTATTAACATGGGAATGGTTGGTGATATTAAAGTCCTGTTTGTGGCACATTAGTATATGTGAGGGGGCAAACTCCTCAAGATGGGTGGTGACCATGGTGGCCATTTAGAAGTCGGCCATCTTGGATACAACTTTTGTTTTTTCAATAGGAAGAGGATCATGTGACACATCAAACTTATTGGTAATGTAACGTGAGGGTTCACTAGATGGTTTGGAATCTCTCTGAATAATTAGGAACAGCAAGATGGAGACGGATAACTTTTTAGCAGCCACTTTACTCTCAGCACACAGCAACAACAACCCACACTTCCTGTGTGCCGCCCTCATGAATACTTCACTGGCCTCTCAGAAGCCAGGAAATCTTATACTCAGATCAAAACAGGGAAAACAACCAGGTAGATATAACACATACTTATTACTGGTTTGAACATGCATGTCTAAACATTCAAACATGTAAACATGTAAATATCAAAACACGTAACCACCAAATAGCTACATAACTAGCTTTATAACCTTTGTAAACACCTCTTTGTATATCAAATTAGATTTAAATTTACTTCTACACTTTACAGTAATGCCACAAGAAAAACAATGGTTTTAATGTCTTCCTCCAGTACCAGACCTTTTCTCCATACCTGAGAGTTTCCAGTTTCCAGGATGGATTCTTCTGTTCAGGCAACAACAGCTTCATTCCCAAGTCTCCTGGATGATTGTAGCTCAGGTCCAACTTTCTCAAATGGGAGTGGGAAGAACTCAGGGCAGATTCCAGAGAAGCACATCCGTCCACTGTGATCAAACAGCCTGACAGACTGCAGGTACATACCAAAAAAAAGTGTTTTATTTTCTTCCCAGAGAAAGTGAGCTCCATCCCCTCAATTTAATTTACCTACATTTATAAAAATGTCCTAACTTTTTATAGCAGAGATAACACTACAATATAAGAGAAAGAACCACAACTCTCAGATGGTCCCCTGTCAGCAGCAATTGGTCACAGGAAGGAGGAAAAACGTCTTACAACTAGAAAGAGACCGCCAACAAAATCTTGTTCAGGGAGGTTTAACCATCTGCTTTAACATGTAGGTGATGTTGGTGCGAGTGAGGACAAACAGCCCATGAGTCCTGTGTCAGATTAGATAAGACTGACTGATAAGGTTCAGTAAATGCTTCAGTAAAAAGATTCAGGTAACTCAGGCGGGAAAAGCAGGGCTCTCCTCACATAGTCCATAATGTAGATGGGGCGCTACCAATGTCAACCGAGTTGGGCAGTGGAAGGAAATGTGAGCTATATTCACTGAGCACAGGTAAAATAGCATAATAAATTAAACAAACAAAAAAACATTAAATGGAACAAAATGCATCCAGGATCATTTAAGGATTAAATATTGTTTGGGACTGTGTAAATAAAACTAAATTAAAATTTTCACGATTATAAAACTAGGGCAAAAAATTTGTTATTTTTATTAAGTTATACAAACAAAATGCAAAAGAAAAAAAAGAGCAGAGCACATCTTGATCTGACCTGAGAGTTTCAAGTTTGCAGTATGGACTCTCCAGACCAACAGACAGAAGCTTCAATCCCAAATCCTTCACGTTGTTGTTACTCAGGTCCAGCTCTCTCAAACTAGAGAACCGCATGCTAAGAACTGATGACAGAGCTTCACAGGCTGTCTCTGCAAGGTTACAGTGACTCAGTCTGCAGATTTATACACAAGAACACAAAGAACACTGATATAAGTCACAGTCACCTCAAGGTGCTTTATGTTGTAAGGTAGACCCTACAATAATACATACAGAGAAAAACCCAACAATCATATGACCCCCCTGAGATAAGGAAGACAAGATAAAAAATTCAGGGTCACCTGATCTAGCCCTAACTATATGATTTAGCAAAAAGGAAAGTTTGAAACCTAATTTCAAAAGTAGAGATAGTGTCTGTCTCCCAAATCCAAAATAGAAGCTGGTTCCATAGAAGAGGGGATTCAAAACTGAAGGCTCTCCCTCCCATTCTACTTTTGAATACTACAAACCACGGGCAGGAAACATGGCAGGTGCCAGGGCTGTCCCACCAGGAATGATTCTAAGACTAGCATGACCTAGGCACAATGCAAGAAATATGTCTGCAAGGAGCATGCACACACTCTCTTCACATCCTGTGTACAGTAGTGAAGAGAAAAAATTTGGCTGTTGGACAAGAACTGTTCCATGTTCTGACTATGTTCTTATTATTTTCTGTTTCACAAATGGTTGAATTTCACATGAAATATGTACCACCCCTCCAAACAAACAGCAAAAACAAACAAAACATAACAAGTTAATAAAAAAAAAACTTCAACTCTACCATTGCCAGTCCCAGGCCTGTATAAGAAAAGAGGAGGGGTGATTGGAAGTGATATTGTGGTGCTTGAGCAAAAATTAACAAGATTCATTCTAAAGGGCATGGATGTAAACACCACGAAAAAGAAACATATCTAGAATTAAACATTTGACCTGATGGTGGTGCTAGAAAAAGGTCATGTCATCACCAAAGACCAACAGGGTTCATCTACTTGTGGTTATTAATGTTGGCAGTAATTTTGAAAAGTTCTCAATTCAAACTTTTCAAGATACATTTATTCTAAATTAAAAGTTTGACTTCATGGCTTGATGGTGGCACTAGAATTTTATTATCAAGAGAATACTAATGTATTCAATAAATAAACAAAGTGCCTGACGCAAACAATTGGTCAACAATTGTATGTAAACCATTTTGTAGAGGTAAATAACCCCCATGGTAAAACGTGATAGTAGTATTTGAGGAGAATAGGAGGGTTAACTGATAAGAAAACAATATATATTGATCTGACCGGAGAGTTGTCAGTTTAGAGTATGGAAACTTCACTCTTGAATCCTGCAGGTCGTTGTTACTTAGGTCCAACTCTTTCAGACTAGAGGACTGGGAGTTGAGAATTGAGGAAAGAGCTTCACAGCTTTTCTTTGAGAGGTTACAGCCACTCAGTCTGAAAAATAAAAGATAAACTGAAAACACTGTTGTAGTGCAATGACAGTACACTGAAGTATTATTAGATTTAGCAATTTTTTAAGCAGTGTAGATCAACAATGTCAAAATTATTTTTGTAATTTTTTCTTAATTTCTTTTCTTCTTTGGAGGCAATCAAAAGTCATGCTACATGAAGTAAGGATCACAATATCTTATGGAGTCAAAGAGCTTCAGGAGAAGCTGGAGCAGGAGATCGCTGAGCTGAAGAGGAAAGACGGCGAGCTGGAGCAGCTCTCACACACAGAGGATCACAACCAGTTTCTACACAACTACTGTCACCACCAGAGCCAAAGACCAGAGTTGGATTCTTAAAAATCACACTGGATCCAAACACAGCATACAGACGTCTTTAATTATCTTAAGGAAATCGAGAAGCTATGGTATATTACGATCAAGAGTCTTACACTAGTAATCCGGACAGTGTTTAGACAGGTCCTGAGTAGAGAGAGTCTGACTGGACGTTGTTACTTGGAAGTGAAGTGGTGTGGGATAGGAATTCCTGTAGTAGTCGCATACAAGAATATCAGCAGAGTCGGGATGTCAGATGAATGTGGCTTTGGATGGAATGATAAATCTTGGGCATTACGTTGTGACATGAAAGTTGCTTTCGAGCCAACGTGTTATACATTTTGGCACAAGAAAATCAAAACCTCTCCAATGGGAGATTGAGAGACCAGTGTCGGAGTGTTAAAGAACAGCTTTGAAATTCTCATGAGTTTTTCGCTGTCTTTCTACAGAGTCTCTGAAACCATGACTCTCCTCCACAAAGTCCAGACCACATTCACTCAGCCGCTCTATGCTGGACTTGGGTTTTTTTATTATGACAATGACACTGCAGAGTTCATTAAACTAAAATAGACAGAAGTCATTAAGGGACACCTGTTAAAAAGTGTGTTTTAGTTTCCAGTTTTCTTTGGTCTTCATCACTGCTGTCCTTTTTCTTCTCTGCACAGAGATCACCTTTGTGACTACACGTTATTTCTTGATTTGTATTTTCTGAACTTGTGTTTTGTTAACTTAATCATGTAAGAATTATTTGAATTTGTTTAGAAAGTATATTCTCTCTTGCTTTCTTGTTTCTGGAGGAAAAAAAACATATCACATTTGAAGCAGGGGGTGATTACAATGACTGTTAAAACAACCACTACTCACAGAAAACTGGCCACATGTTTACATTTACAAAGCTTTCAGCTTCTAAGAATTGCTCTTAGTCACCAACTTATAAGAAAACTTGAGTGTTCTAAGAATTACCCTTCAAAGGAAGAAAA